CAGACAGCCTCTTCCCAATATGCGTTTTTGCAATTTACATATATGCAAAAACGCATAAAAAACCAAAACACAGATACATGAGTTGCGCGTTTGAACTGTAAATTAACAACGATTCGTACTGTTGATCTAGCTGCGTTAAATTTGGCGCAAGAACGCATGGCCGCACGGGCAAGCCTGTTGCTTTGTTATCTGGGTTTTATTAAAAGGTGCTCCCGCGAGCTTAAGTAAGTGTGTAAGTCAGGCCCGCGTATCGCTAGAAGTTGCCCATGCCTGCTCTAGACGGTCTTAGGAACCTTAGCAGAGTTTGATTCGAGTAGGATTAAAGTGATCCAAATTCAGGTTGGAGCATTTTTTATGATCAATCTATGCTTGGTGGTTATTGCAACACAATTCGCTGAAACAAAACGGCGCGAGACGGAACGAATGATCGAAGAAAGGAAGCGGTTGCGATCCTCGGGGTCACTCAGTATGTCTTTTCTATTTCGCTTTTCAAATTAGTACCATATACGCACGTTTTCTTCCCTTAAATAGGTAATTGTACCTTGCACAAAAAGATTATCAAAAGTTTTTGGATGTGACTTTTCCATATTTCATTTTCATTGCAGGCAGCGATCCACTGCAGTCCTCAAGGGATGAAGAAGCAGGAGAGAGTGTCTATGCAGCCATAGTAAAATCCATTGCTCATTATACCAGGCGTATAAAGCGAAGGCTGCACAAGGCACTGTTAAATTTTTCCCTTGCTTTTAGTTTGACCTAGTAAGCAAATAGCGCTCACAATGAAAGGATAAAGAATTATGAAAGAAGTAAACGGAGCACAAAAATCTCTGAGTAAAAGGGACAGGACTGTATAAACCTTATAATCGCTATCACTATAAATTTGATTTGTAAATCACTATCAATTTGCTCGAAATGGCATTAAATTTAAAACTTTAAGTTGTATTCCAACTGTTAACATTTTTTTTTCGTCAGCAGCAACGATTACTGTATGCGACCCGCCAGCGGACGCGTTGTGTTCAGGCTGCAAAACTTTCGCTATCTCCCTCGCTCAGTAGTTAGGCAAGAAAGCAAAAATTTTGCGTGAATTCTTACACATCTTCCGTGACAGTAAGTGCGTCATATCACCTTTTACAAACGCCTACAGCTTACTCACTCACGCAGCAAATCAAGTACAAAATCGTCGACAACCTCTCTTCGTAATATTCATATATGCTAGAAATTGAGATTTTATGCGGTCCCAAGTAATGCAGCACTACCATCCTAACCGATTTCCTCTTTCCCCCATACAAGAAAAGATCAAAAGCATTGCTAACATGAGCGCTCATGTTAAAACGTAAAGCAGCGACCATTCATACTGTTAACAGTAAATTAATTGTTTCACGGTTCGCACAAAAACGCGTAATCATATCAGCTATCCTGGTGCGAACTGCTATTATTCACCTCTTTTTCGGCACCATACACTCAAATTAATTGACTGCTGACTGATTTGCCCATTCACACCGCTGATTTAATATACTTTTTAAATCTGCAGTGAGATAAGTTAGACTTCTTAACAAAAAGCTTATGTTTTACTGAAGTAAAAGGAAGTGGCTCAAAATACCTGCTTGTGTCACAACAGCTAGCAATGCAAGTTCATTAAGGTTTGTCTTGCTATTTAGGAATGGAAAATAATGAAGGAACATTGGGTATCCAGACGAAAGATATTTAAGGACTTGTCAAATAGTGCACATCCGAAAACAGCGAATACGGAGGAGCTAAAGGAAAAACACGCTGTGGATGAGAACGCTGCTGCCGGTTAATATTCTGATATTGTAAAACAGCACACCGGGTATGGCAAGACTGCGCGGACAGGTTGATGTAGGGGTTCGATGTTAGTAATGGTATTGGACTGCTGTCACACGTCGGGTAGTTTTGCCAGGCTTTCGATCCTGAACTTCATATTTCCAACAAAATTACCTACTGCCTCCTCTGTTATATACATTACCTCTTTGGAGGTCTCTACTTTCTCACCGGGACCATTCTCTAGTGCGCGAGCAGCAAGCCGTGCCCATCTGTTTTTCTCACCTTTTCGCGTAGTGGTAGTAAAGCCTTGCACGCCACTCAAAAGACTGATTGTGTAATTATTCATATTAGTCATGAAGAAGACAGTCTTTCACTTTGTTTTACTGCTTCCTCCTTTACAACTAGCTTCCGATATTCCGTCGGCTACCGCATTTCCCATCCATAAATTTCGCATTTACTGCTTTCATCACAGTAGCTTTCACAAGTATGTGGTGCGCTTCCGGTATGATGAAAACCATATGACACTCCAGGTGTCGCCATGTGCAGCTATTTGTTATATTCATACTTGACCAGACCTTGCATCCCTAAGAAGAGCAAGCGAACAGCATTTGTTTGTTTCTCCCTTCTTTCCGTCCCCTGCGCTTCTTTTGGAAGCAACGTTGACAAAGTCCCACAATTTTTTTTATCATATATTTCTTAAAGCATTTTGTAGAAGACAGTTTGTTGTATCCTGCATCATGCAAAGCAAAGAACACTGTTACAAATACGAAATCGAATGGAAATATGAACGGTTTGTTACTCATTTTCAGTGTGATCCAAAACGTTATCCCGTAATTTCGGTGCATAATTTCGATAATATTGGTGATTTCTATGCGTTTTTACTGTGCAGTGGTATAGCTCGAGAAAAAATGCGTATTGTCGAGAGGTCGTTCGTGTGTGTGTGTGTGTTCGGAAGCGAATGAACTTTGTCATCCACTTTCAACTCAGCAAACCAGGAAAGCTGGAAGACTGAAATTTTAGGTTCATATTCCCACTTCATGTGCCACCCTTCCGTTTTAAATCATCGCTCATATGCACCTAAATCTCGCATACGGTCCCCCCAAAAAATACGCAGGTTTCCTTGGCGGGGAACGATTTCGTAAATCAGGCAAGATAAAAAACCAAAACTTTGCAGTCGTATTCTCAGTGCACGTATGAGCCAAAGATTTCAAACTCAGCTATCACACACGCCTATATTGCGCATGGTCAAGTTAAAGTTCGAAGTGCTGTGTCAACTGGAAAACTGTCCGAGAAC